ATGATAATTTCCCAATTCTTCGATTCCCCACATAGGTATGTGGGAATCGTTGTTCACACCTTTTTGAAAACAGCTGTCAAAAGGTGTGAACAGACGCAAATAACTATATTACGGGAAATTCACGAAATTACCCAGATTTTCAAAACTTTCAAAGCCAGCTCTAATCGGATCTTCAATTTTTACTAATGATAATTTCCCAATTCTTCGATTCCCCACATAGGTATGTGGAAATCGCTGTTCACACTTTTTTGAAAACAGCTGTAATTGAAGCAATTTATACTTCGACATACCTTCTTCCGGCTAGAAAATGTCCAAATGAAGATTCCCTTCGAAAGTGTCTTTATCAATACATTAAGGGACCAATCAGTTTTCGAGATGACTTTTTTGCCTATAATTTTGATCTTGATAAAGAATATAATAAACGAGTTATCCATTTTCCAGTAGCATTTGTTCACCCGATAGATGTATTAGATGTTCAAAATGCTATTAAATGTGGGACAAAATTAAATAATCCTATTGCTGCAAGATCAGGCGCTCATTCTTACGAAGGTTACGGAATTGGTGATAAAGATTGTTATTTAGTTGTTGATCTTAAAAACTAAAAACTTTGATAAAATTACCGTCGATGTAACTTCACAAACTGCATTAGTCGGAACAGGAAATACACTAAAGTCACTATATTACGAAGTAAATAAATATGGATTCGCTTCTCCAGGTGGTATTTGTCCTTATCTTGGAGTTGGTGGACTTTTAACGGGTGGTGCAAGCATTATATGAAAATTTTATTATTTTTTCCTATTTTGGGTTTGAACTATAAAAATTATAACCTCAATTTATTTTTTACCAGGGTATGGGATTTCTTTATCGAAAATTTGGATTTTCATCAGATAATATTCTTGATGCACAAATTGTTTTAGCAAATGGGACAATAGTTAACAATGCTAAAGAATATCCGGAACTTCTCTGGGTTATTCAAGGTGCAGGAAACGCAGGCTATAGTATTGTTACATATTTAACCCTCGGGATACATCCTATCCAGAAGATTCTAATCGCTTTTTCTTTTGAATATGATTAGGATCAGATTCCATTAATGATTGCAGTAATGAATCAATTAGGGAAAAACTTGACACAGAATTTAACTTTCGAAATATCAATCCTTAAATTCCAAGCTATTATTAATGGGATTTATTTAGGGCCTGCAGATGAATTACAACTTCATATACAAGAATTTATTAATTTAGGCAGACCAATTTAATTCGGAGGTTTACGTACATCCTTCTCACAAAAGAGGGGGGGGGGGGGGGGAAGCTGGGGGGAGTTTATTATAAATTTTTTTTCCGAAATGATCCGCGATATTATAAAAGTTTTCCGAAATTTTCCGCACATATAGTGAGGGGGGTAAATGGGGAAGGCAGAAGGAGGGGATAACTTAAGTCTCCGTATTTATTTGGTCTGTCCTAATA